TTTGTAGAAATTTTAGCAATAGGAAAAGATCAATATGCACGATACCACTTCACTTGTTAGCATCTCCTTTATCCAAAAAGCATTTCCTTTTCACTCACATTTTCTGTAGTAACTGCTTGTGTGAGTATAATTGTGCCTTAAAAATATTGGATAGAGCAGTCCCCAGATAAAGCACCAATGTATGATGCAGAGTTTGAATAGATTCTTAATGTAGTGATGCTGCTTACACCAAAGTGTTAGCAAAAAAATTCACTCAACAAATTGCCCACATGTGGCTGTCCCAGTTCTGACCATGTAAAGTCTTAGGCTGTCCATTCCCATTGGAGTGTATTATGTAGTTGTGGTTACTCCCAGTATCAGTTGGTACTAGACTGCCTACAAGTTCTTCTTCAGAATATGAATGTTTGTAACTTGGAGTAATCTGTAGGACGGAGTTAAATTCAGATATGCTTTGTCAGTTTCAGCAACTTTAGCTTACAGTATGGACTCCTTTTCAGATTTCACAGTTGCTTTTGCTAGTTGTGTACACAAACCTTTTGTGTGACATTCATCATTATTAAGGCTTAGTAGTAGGAAGCAAGTATGATTCAACTTTGTTTAATGTTATGAAATATCTTTAACGTACTGTCATATAAAATGTTATACTTTAAGGCTTTACTGGTTTTGTTGTATTTAACTCTGCTGTCATTTATAAACATTGGAATATAAAATATGGAGTAAGAAAATAAGAATTTAATCCATCAAGCTTGGGCTCTTTACTGTACTTAACATTCCATCATGACGCCCACCTGTTGATTCCATGCACAATGGAAATGTCTCCAACTTATTAAAATCTTTAACTCTCTTTCTCAACAGACACAAATCTAGACATGAGTTGACTTGTTTGGGAATCTGTTTCATGTATCTCCCATCCTTTGTTGTGGGTGCTCTTTAAATCTTTAACTTTTGTTCGTGTAATCGCAAATTTGAATTATGACTTGACACAACTGTTGGTGGCTAGTATTAAAGGCATTTGTGGAGACCAGTGGATGATATTTCACTGACCTCTCCTGTGAAATAACTGTTTATTATACTCTGTGGCTAGTAATGTTCCTTCTAAGTTGTGTAGATGCCAATTAAACAGCAATCTTCAATAAACAAGTTGCTAAAAAAAGTTGTAACCAACGTTAGTGGTTAGCAGACATTTTAATCCTAGCAGCACATGATATTGATGGTAAAAAGTAAAGCATTTTACAAATGAACCTAATTTCTTCTCATTGATCCAATTTATCCAGCATTTGTACATCACATATTAACTCTCCTTAAATCCATCTTTTTGACTTTTGGTCACTTGTGATTTCATGTCAAATTCTGTCTAATTATGATCATGTGAAGTTCAGTGGAAGTTTTTAAGCTACATTAAAAGTGTGAATAAGTGCAAATATGTTGCCATGTATAAAATGCAGGTCCTCTGCGATGGTCTGTCTCTCTAATGCGAGGTAAAACCCTGCAATTTAAGTACTTGTCTTTACTTAAATGTTTAAGTAAAAATATACTTAAATGTTTGAAATATTTTTCAGTTCTTGCAATTGTCACCTTCACCCCAAACCTAATTGAAGCAACTATTTTTGCTATCTATCAACGAGAGCTAAAAGTATATATGCTGAATAATACTTTACAAGTCAATTTGACAGCTTTCTAAACAAGCAGAAATTGACTGTTAGAACAGTTGAGCTTTCATTGAATGACCAACAGTAATGAAGTTTTTTTCAAAACTTAACATCTTCCCTTGCAGAATAATTATGAGATAAATAAGTTTATAGAATCATGAGGGGCATGGATAGGTTGAATAGCCAAGATCTTTCCCTAGGGTGGGAGAGTCCAAAACTAGAGGGCATAGTTTTAACGTCGGGGGAAGATTTAAAAAGGACATGAGGGGTAACTTTTTTACACAGAGGGTGGTGCGTGTATGGAATGAGCTACCAGAGGAAGTGGTGGAGGCAGGAATCATTACAACATTTAAAAGGCATTTGGATGGGTATATGAATAGGAAGGGTTTAGAGGAAGGCAAATGGGACAAGGTCAGATTGTGATGGCTAGTTGGTGTGAACGAGTTGGACCGAAGGGTCTTTTTCCATACTGTATGACTCCATAACTACCACATGCTCAGACAATATTAACTTTCAAAGTTGTTGCAATCTATCTTGGCTAATTCTTATGCTGATTTCCAGGATTTTCTTTCTTGGGTGTCCACAAAGCAGCTGTCCAGCATTTCATCAGAGAATAAATGTTGGCAGTGCCTGGTCAAGCTATTAAATATATGTTATAAGTGTTGACCTTCATGCTTCCTTGGATTTTGGGGAAAGGGGGCCATAAACAGAAAGGGACATCTGTTGTACATTCTCTCTCTCCCATTAAATCTTATTAATAGGTGAGTTTAAAAACTTCTGGAAGAGTGTACTTTTTTGAAAGTTAATCTATTTTTTTCTAGTTGACCTGTTCTGAGATGTTATTGTACACCTCTGGAGCAAGTGAGACTTGAATCTGAGCCTCCCTGTCCATGAGTTAGGGATATTACCCCTGCACCACAAGAGGGCAAGCCTACTGCACTTGGTATTTCCAGGCGGTCTTCCATTCAAGTACTGACTAGGCCTGAGTTTGCTTAGCTTCGGAGATCAGATGAGATCAGCATTTTCAGATTAGAATGGCCATCGGCTGAAAGTGTGTACTTATCTAAGAGTGAATAAGAAGTTGCAGCTGTGATAAGAGTGGAGACAAATTAGGGTAGGCTATCAAACTCACTTGACCATGACCTCAAAACAGTTTAATTCTCTCATTCTTCATTACATTGTAGTCTCTGATGTTTTACATCACTTACTACCTCGTAATTTAGCTTACCTCCACTCTTTTCAACATTGGTGAATCTCCTGCACTATGAGCTAAAACATCAAAGTAAAGATTGTCCTATCAGGCAGGAAATATTTAGTTTATGTATTTTATGTAGTTTATGAAATATTTTAGTTTATGTATTCTCATAATTTAACCCTTAGAGCCCTGTAATATTCTGGTGAATCTGTGCTACAGACCAATTTAACTGTTCTAAGGTAGTATCCAGAACTGTGCAGGCCTTTGTAAAATTATAGTAAAACTTCTTTATATTTCAGTCTTCTAAGTATAAAGGCTAACTTCCCATTTGTCTTTTTGATTTGTTTTTGTATCTGACTGTTGCATTTTCACGATCTGCACACCTGTTCCCTCTAAAACCATTTGAACCTCTCCTGTTCCCAGCATTTCTAAAATTCTCACATCTGTCCATTTTTAGTCCAAATGGATACCTGCATTGAAATCCATCAGTCACAGATTTTTACACTCAGTTAGTCATACCACTGTCCCTGTAATTGTATGCTTTGTCTACAGTACTTACTATGTCACCTGTCTTTGTTACCAAACCTGGATATGTGGCTGTCAGGTATGTTGTCTAACTTATTAATAAATATAATCAACATTGAAGTCTCAACACAGATTCTGTTGAGCATCACTCGTCACTTGCTTCAAATTTCAGTACCTACCCATATCTCCTCATATCTTCTACCACCTAACCAATCTCTTAACCAGTTTAATGAATTACCTTCAATTCCATTAGCATTATTCTTGGGTCTCTTAAGTGGAATGTCATTGCATGCCTCTGGATTAGTTGCTTACTCAAAAAAAAATTACATTTGTTAGACATGACCAACCCTTAAAAGCCCAAGTTGGCTCTGCAAACAACTCATATTTCTTTGTGCTCAGTCACTTTTGTCCTTTGTTGTAGATTATCTCCATTGTACTTCAAACATGAACAAAGTACTTTGATTTTGGGCACAGTCCCATTACAGTTCAACATTGAAGTAACCATTTAGTCAAACATTCCAATTAATACTCTACTACGAATTATTAATTCTCAGTGTCATCGTTTCTGGTAATTGAAAAAAGTCAGATTTTATTTTTGTCCGTCTTTTGTATACTGCCGTCTAAAATTCTGTTAATTTCTCTATGAAAATGGAAACCCAGTGGCCTTGCCAATTTGTTAATAAAACACATGGAAAGCAGGTTCTCTCTGGTCTGACTAGTAGAACACTGGATAAAATCGACAGTGAAAACGAAAGCAGATTCTTTCTGGTCCAACTGGTAGAACACTGGAGCAATGTGAGCTGCGGCATAAGGTTCCTGTGGCCTAACTGACAGAACACTGGATAAAATCAGATGGTGGAACTTAAAACAGATTCTTTCTGGTCTAACTGGTAGAACACTGGAGAAACTCGAGCAGTGGAAATGAAGCAGGTTCCTTCTGGTCTAACTGGTAGAACACTGGATAAAATCAGTGGAAATACAGATCCTCAAGGATGATTGCACATTCCAGTATTTCCTGTTTTTATCACTAGATTTTTTATTCAACCCTGTACAAATGGATAGATTTTGAAGTCAGGACTTCTAGAAATAAACATAACTATTCAAATAAACTTATAGGATGAAATTACAGAAAAAAATGTACATTCAAAGTGATTTTATTAGTGGGTCATTAATTTGAGAAAAGTAGCATTCTCCAGTAGAATTCCACTCCTCAAAGTGTTTTGGAAAAGTAGGAACAGAGACTTAATTTCTCTTCTTGCACTCAGACTCGAGTTGCACTCCACTGAGATAGAGGCAGTCTCCTGTAAATAGGTATTCAAATGTTTGGGAAACTATACTCTGATACTAAGAGCTAACAGTATGAAATGTACTCCACAGCTTGTACAGTTTACTTCAGTTTGGCATCATATCTGAAACCATTTGCAAAGCAGTATGAAAGCAGTTGTCAGGCCAGCAGGTGGTGCTATTTTGAAAGTGGACGATCAACATTACTGTTGAAACACTAGACATTGCAATTTAGGCTGAATGTTCTTATGTTCCAGTATGCAGATAGCCTCACTTTTGTGAGCATATTTACTGAATTAGCACTATTCACAATTTAACTGCTGATTTGCTTTAAAATGTTTCCACAGGACAGAATCCTCAGAGAAGCCAATCACATGACTCAGTGAATTCCCCAGACCATCGAGATTCTCCATTGCCACGAAGAGGACCATCACCAGCTGAAAATGCTGCAGCACCTCCCAGGAGGGATAAGTTACCACCTTCCTTCCAGCTGCCTAGTCGGCCTCCGTACGGTGAACATCCACATGGAATTCCACCGCCAGGCCTTCTGCCCCCTCCTATGTCACTTGCTCTCAATTCTGGATATGGACCCCCACTTCAAGTGCAGCCAGGGCCCCTACCCCCGCCAGGTGCATTCTTAGCACGACCTGGCCCTCCAGGATCTATTGTACCTCCATTGCCACCAGGACTCCCACCCCATTTGATAGTACCACCTCCAGGTGCTATTCCACCTGCACCCCACATTAACCCAGCCTTCTTTATAACGCCAAATGCCAGCTTACCTTCACCAGTTGATAGCAGAGGACTTCCACCACCACCTGGGGATGTCTATGGCAGACCATCACCGTCTCAGTACAACAGAGAGGAATTCAAACGTGGAAGGTAGGCACAGATCTGTCCAGCTGAGTTATGTCATTTTATGTCTTCAGCTGCTTTTCTGTTTGTAGAGTCACAGATTCATACAGCATGGAACCGGACCCTTTGTCCAACTCATCCATGGGTGAATTGAGATAGCACTAAACTGTGTAGACATGGAAGAAATCTAGTCACACTCTTCTGGATGATTTACTTTATCACTGCTATGGGATGAAGGGAATGATTAACAAGTGTTCTGATTCCTATCCAGTGACACGCATGGAGTTTGGATGAGGACAGAATTGGGTTTGATTGAGATACATTGTGAGCTCCAGTAAGTAAGCTGGAAACTAATTTGGGGTCGATGAGATTTGTCTGACAAAGGGACAGGAAGGTTGGAATCTAATTATCATAAATTTGTGGCAAATTCCCCATTACATGAGGCCAGTGCCACAGGATCTTAGCTAAAATATTTTGAGGAATATTCTTCCCAGTATAGGCCTCACTTCTGTGCATGTTGCTTTTAATTCTTTATTTACATGCTGCAGTGTACAATTTGCAATGCTCCAAATTGAATTCACTGGTTGATGTCAGTGAGTAGTGTACGTAAAAATCCCATTGTGTTGATGCTGAGGGCAGTAAGTAAGGAAATCATAGAGGAAGTCAGGGCTATAAAAATAAATAATTTGTATTTCTTTTTTCTTATATGTAATAAGCATATGTTTTTAAAGGAACTCTGCAGTCTGTATGACTATGTTTTAGTGAATGGCCACCATGTTAACTACAATTTTTTAAAAATAATTTGTTAAACTAGATTTAATTCTAGGGTCTGTCTTGTCCAGATGTATCATTCAGCTGGGATCATAACAACACGCAGAAAAGATTTGAGAATTTTTCCAGGGAAGAGGGATTTCATTTACAAGGATAGATTGAAGAAGCTGGATAGATTAAAGAAACTCCTTATAGAAACAAAGATTTCGTGGAGATTTAATGGAGGTGTACAAAACCTTGAGCAGTCCAGAGATAAACTCTTTATACTGGCAGAAGGGTCAAGAATCAGATTTCAGATGATTGACAAAACAACCAATGTTGACTGAAGAATTTTTTTAGACAAGTGCTAAGGATCTATAACTGCACTATTTAAGGGAGTAGGGGAGGCAAGTATAATACAACTTGCAAAAGAGGAGTGAATAAGTACCTGATGGGAAAATACTTGTAAGACAGAGAAGAAAGGGTGAGGGAATAGAATTAACTCAGTTGATCTTGCCAACAGCTGCACTTATAAATTGTAACCACTCTGTAATTATTTCAAAGGACATTGAAACTATTGCCACCTCTTACTGCAAGCTTCTGTTCCACATTGAGAAGCAGAAAATTGTGGATGATTGGGTCTCATTTAATATATCAAAAGATCAGTTAATAAATTAATTGCTTAAAATCATTGAAATAAAGCTGTTAATGTTTTTCATATTAGCTAACTTCTAGCAGATTACCATGGCTTTATTTGTAATTCAGAGGATACACTGTTTAAATATTGGCAAAAAATTAAACTGTGATAATATGCAATGTACTGCTTTATTATTAATGGAAATCTATAGATAATTTGATTTGTTCCTTTAAGATCACATGGTCTTAATGCTGTAAATAGTCAACCGGAAGCCATTGTTGGTCCTAGTCACGTTTTGAAGTCAATTAAAATTATTTCTGTCAATAGAAGATGTTGTCTGAAATCCACTAGAAAAATATGCTTTCCTTTTTCTCGTACTTTTGTGAAATATGATACAGTCACATTAAAGCAATGCCTGGAGAATAAAGGGTCTGTCTCAAGATATATTAGCATTTATTGTATGAAATCTGGGATTTTCACATATTTGTGAGTGCTTGGAGTCTAACATGCCCTGTCCTGTGGAAAAATAATCTATAGGTTAATGAAAGGCTAGTTGATGTTGTTTGGTGTTTTTTGCAAATAGCAGTTGTTTGGCTTCTCTGATTTGGCAGATCATAAGTTATCTCGAGATCAGAAAAAGCTTCAAGAAATAATGGGCTTTCTTTCTGTTTGTTTTTGAGGTTATATATGGCACTTCATACAAAGAATGAAACTTGAGTATCAATAAATCTACTGAATATTTTAATTAGATAATATTGCCTCCTATTGACATTTGCTTACTTTTTTGTGTTAGAGAGCATAAAAAGAGGAATCAGCTTTGATATTAGCTCTGTAACACAGCCAACCAGACAGGCTATGAATAAAGATCCATAGTCACACAGAGTACCAAGATCCCTAAGTGCATCTGAAAAACTTGGCCACTTGGCCATCAAGATCTAGTATTAATTTTCGGACCTTGTTTCAGTCAAACTTTGAGTTATCACTTTAAGAATAAGATGAGGTAATTGCTAACTGTTTTATTTGAATTTATGTGTCAAGAATCAAATGCCTTTCCCATCTTTGCAGAGATCCTGACTCCAGTAGTCCTCCTCTTAGTGAAGCAGAGTTTGAAGAAATGATGAACAAGAACCGAGCGATTTCTAGCAGTGCCATCTCCAAAGCTGTGGCTGGAGCTAGCACAGGTAAGTGAGCAAAAGCAGGTCTTCAGTACAATTTCTATGCATCTAATAACTTGATAGCTACAAAACTGTACTAATCTACAGTGAGTCCACATCTCTGTGCTCACACCATGCCCTTCTCAAGTGGTGAACTATGCAGAGTTGTTTTTTGGACATTTTCAGAACTGCTGTCAGAGATGCTATGATGAGCCTTAATTTCAACAGAGTGAGGATATAGAGATAAGGCACTGTGTATGTGATAATGTTTCTGCAGTTTAGGAAGAACAAGAAAGGAAGGATTTGTGAAATATTACTGGTGAAAGCTGCCCACTGCATGTCAGCTTCCTGATGTCCTATGTGTGCTTAATCTGCAAGCAAATTCCATATGCAGTATAAATTAGTGAATGACTGTTTTTGTCACTTTGTGAATGAGCCCAAATAGAAAAACAAAAAACGAAGAATGTTTCAGTTTCTGAAAGAAGATAGGTTGGTTAACATAGTACTGTCCAAATCTTTGTTTTAATGGACCAGGCAGGGTGTGTACCATGGAGCATTGAGAACACACCAATGGAAATTCAGATAGCAACTTTTTAATGGTGCAGTGTCCTAGGACACTTCACAAATGGTACAATTTAAAAACCAACAGGAAAGCCAGAGAAGGAGAAATAAAGAAGGATGGCAAAAGACTTGATCAAACATTTTTTTTGTTTTTAGTGGGGTCTTAAAAGAGGCAGAAGCATTTACAGAGAGTACTTGAGGCCAAGCAACTGACACAGCAATGGTGGTTACATAGGAGCTTGAACTAGAGGAAAGGAAATTTCATGGGTGGGTGCTCATTGCATTGCTGGAGGTAATTGCAGAGATAAGCAAGGCGAGGTATGGTGGGATTTCTAATATCAAGGATGGAAATTTTGAAGTAGAGGTGATGGGAGACCAGGAGCAATGTAGCAATTGGGAAAGGGCAATAATGATAGGATATTTCCAGCTAAGTGTTAGATCAGTTATTATTTCAGACGAAATAAGAAAGACCAGCCAGGGAAAAATGGGAGTATTTGTATCTGGAGATGACAAAGGAATGAAAGAAGGGTTGTACCAGATGGGTTAAGTTTGAAGGTGAAAGTAAGAGGTTTTTGTGATGGAGAGGATTTGTGTAAAACATTCAGCTCGACTTTGAAAGGAATGCCAAGGTTGGGAGAAATAAGTCCAAGATGGTACCTAGGAAGGGGAGTGTAGTTCGTGATGAAGTTACATTGTTTGTAAAAGGGTGCTTAAAAGAAATGACATCAATTTTCCCAATGTTTACCTGAACAAAATTATGATTTATCCAAGGCTGGATATCAGACAAGCAGACTAACATCACAGAGTAAGGTTGGAAAGGATGGAGAGGTAGAAGTGGGTACCAATAGCATACATGTGGACATTGACCTCATGTCTTTGGGTAATTTCACTATGTAGATGAAGAAGAGGAGGTGGCGCAGGAGTTGGATAACTGTGGTGACAATGCACAGGGCAGGAAGTGAAACCATTGTTAGAGCTATTGTGACAGTGAATAAATAGATAAGAATGGAACCAGGAGAATGAAGTCTCACAGAATCAGAGAGTGAAGGAGAGGCATTGAATGAGGATGATCTGTGTTCTAATTAATTCACGTATATCTCATGTTACATTTGATCTTGATATAGTTTACAATTTAACCACCAGAGGCAACGAGACTTAGAATAGCTGTTTCAAACTTCACAACTGCCACATTTAAATTGACAAGTATCGGGAAACAAAACACAAGCGTAAAAAAAGACAGCTGTCTGGGCTGTGTGCTCCTACTGCTAGGATTCATTGGCTGCATATGGTCGAAGTGCTGTAGTTTAGATTCCTCTAGAATAATGATTTACATGCACCAATTAGTGCACTGCTGTTAAGTTCTGAAGCTGAATCGATATTTGTGTTACATAGGCGACTACGGAAATGCAATTGAGACATTACTTACGGCCATTGCCCTGATTAGACAGTCAAAAGTTGCAGCAGATGACCGCTGTAAGGTCCTGGTCAGCTCCCTGCAGGACTGCCTCCATGGAATTGAGTCCAAGTCATATGGGTCAGGATCCAGGTAAGCATATAATAAGCACCATCTCAATTAACCTATTGAAACTTTTAAAAATGTTCTTTCATGGTGTGTAGACAACCTGTTAAGGCAGTTGTTGCCCATCTCTAAATGTCCTTGAACTGAGTAACTTGCTACTCTATTTCAGAGGGCAGCTAAGTGTCAACCATGATGATGTGTCTCTGGGTTGATTATACCTAGTGAGGAGGGCAAATTTTGTTACCTAAAGGACATTAGTTAACCAGATGGGTTTTTATATCAATCAATAATAGTTTTATGGTAACCATTACTGCAACCAGCTTTATAATCCAGATCTATTAGCTGAATTTAAATTCGGTGGTGGGATTAGAACCTTTATTGTCAGAGAATTAATCTGTTATCTGGATACATGTCCAGTGACATTACCACTGTGCCACTACAATCATTTATGGAGGGGGGCAAGTTATTCTAAATTAATCTTGTGTGATGAGAACCAAAGAGTTAGAGTAACCAAGGATTTCAAGATATTAGGGGGAACAGAAACTATTTCTGCTAAAAATGGCAAAACACCATGAGGTTTCGAGGAACACAGGGATCTTGGAGTGTTGTCTGCAGACCTCTGAAGGTGCAGAACAAGTTAATGGGGTAGTTAAGAAGGTATGTGGGTGCTTGCCTTTATCAGTTGAGGCAGATTAAAGAGCCAGGGGATCATGTTGGAGCTGTACAGAATTTTGGTTAGGCCACATTTGGAGTACTGTGTGCAGTCTGATCACCACATAAAGGAAGGATGTGTTTGCACTAGAGGGGCTGCAAAGGAGATTCACCAGGAAATTGATTGATATGAAACATTTCAGCTATAAAGAGAGGCTGGATAAGTTTGGTTCATTTTGTTTGGAACAGATGGGGGTAACTGACTGAGGTATACAAGATTATGATGAGCATGGACAGGGGACCCACGAGGGTGGGTAGAAAGCAGCTGTTCTCCTTAAGTGAAGGATCAATGACAAGGTGGCATAATTTTAAAGTGCAAGGCAGCAAGTTTTACAGAGTACTTAAGGAAAAGCCTTTTAACCCAGAGGGTGGTGAGGTCCTGGAATGCATTGCTGGGAGGGTAGTTGAGGCAGGAAACCTCAACCTTTTAAAAAGTACTTGGATGAGCACTTGAAGCAAATTAACATTCAAGACTATGGGCCTGGTGTAGTAAAGTGAGACTCGTGTAGGCACTTAGTATATTTTTAGCGGTTCACACATGACGGACTAAAAGATCTCTTCTGTACTGTATGAATTTAGCTGGAAAGTCTAGAACAAGGGGACATAGTCTAAAAGTTAGAATCAGACATTTCATGAGAAACCGTTCAGACAAAAGGCGGGAGAAAGGCCAAATACATTCTTACAAATGAAAATTGATAAATTTTAAGACTGAGACTGACAGATTTTTGTCAGTCAAAGGTATGAGCAAATGGTTGGGATATATGGAGTTAAGTCGCAGTTCAGCCATGATCTCATTGAATTAACAGGCTTGGAAGATAAATGCCCAAATCCTATTTCTGTGTTTTCTCTATAATTTATTATCAGACAGACTAGTATTTGGCAGTTTTCTTAGGTGGTATTTAATTGAGATCACTCAACTGAGCATAGGCCACGGGTAACATCTTGAATCTACCTGTTCAACACAACCCAGTTCCACTAATTTGGGGAGCTGACAGAATAGGCAGTGGATGCTCAGTTGTTGACTAGATTCAAAGCCGAAATCAATAAATTTTTGGGCTCAAAAGGGAATCTAGGGATGTGGAGATCAAGCAAGAGACTGGAGTTGAGGTTGAGCATCGGTGATATTCATAAATGACGGAGCAGGCTCAAAAGGCTACAATGGTCTATTCTCATTCCTATTTCTAATGTACAATAATTTCTTGCTTATCATTTTGTTTTCTATGGTAACATTGAATCTGTCATTATTTAATATTTCTTCATTAAGCAATTGACACTATATTGCTGAAAGGGTATTCAAACATATCCTGAAAGTAAGCTGGCAAAAATGATTGGATTTATTACATTTCTATTTACAGGAAGAGAGAGAGATCACGAGACCGAGAGTACAGCCGTTCTCATGACAGAAGCCGTAGACACAGGGAACGCTCTCACAGTGAGGATCGGCATGAAGATTATCACCGTGAGAGAAGTAGAGAACGAGATCGGCATAGAGACCGGGACCGTGACAAGGAAAGAGAGCGAGAGAGAGAGTATAGGCATCGCTAAGGTATGCTTGGAAAGTAAAGCTTGTTTAAAAAGAAGCATCGTAATTGCCTTATTACATTTTAAAGCATTCTCCACAATGGACTACTGCAGTTTTGGAAAGTTGTGACTAAATATATGGACCTCATTGAGTGGGCAGGGACTGGCCAACCTGCATGCTAGTCCTCCAGCTTCTTCCTGTCCTTCAGCTATTTATTCTAAGGTGAAATGAGTGTGGTGCGTGGTCTGTTCACCTCACCAAACAGTGTAAGTGTGTTTTGCATTACAATCACCACAGTTGAGGGTTTGAAGAGCAATAGTAAAATGTGAAAATGTGAATGAGAATTAAAATCACTTTTTCTTTGGCAACTTGAATTTTCCACTTTGTATCCAGGTCTCACAGCTCACAAGTAGCATGGCCACTGTCTGGAGGTCGCTGCCCAATGGCAGCAGTGGTACGAGCAGGGGAGCCAGTGCTCTAGCCAGGCTTGGACACATTCCTTTATTTTCCATCTTCAGCTGTAACTGCAGACCACTCTATGGTGAGTTCCTCCCCTCACCATCCCACAATGACCTGTTTTTATTTCCAATTTTTAAAAAAATTGGAAAGATGTTTTGGCGGACCCTATACCTTACTTACCTGCCATAGCTGCTTCCAAGCTAGAATGCCTCTAATTGGCCCTCCAGCTTCAAGAGTACTTCCAAAGTCCTGTAATGGACTGACAGCTAACCCACTATATGGCCTTTGTTAATCAAACTGGAAAAAAAAAATCACAAGTGAATGACTGTGTTCTCCACTCATTGCAGACTTCAGACCCACCTTTTAACCTGATGACAAAGTCCTGAAGCTTGGGATTTATAATCTTGGCCATGGGCAAAAGATGGCTAATTAAAAAATGATTATTTTACGGAAAGTGGATGCCACTGGCTAAGCCAGCATTTACTGCCCTCCCCAAATACCCTTCATTATATGGTGGTGAGCCATCTTCTTGAATTATTGAATTTCATGTGGTGGTGGTACTCCCAGTTTTGTGACGGAGGACATTTCAGGATTTTGGCCGAGTGACAGTGAAAGAATGGCAAATTAGTTTCAAGTCAGTGGTCTATGTGGCTGAGAGGGGAATTTGGAGTTGGTGGTGTTCTTTTGCATTTGTTGCCTTTATCCTTTTAGGTGGCAGAGGTTATGAGTTTAGAACATGCTGTTGAAAGAACCTGGGTGACTTACTGCAACACATCATGAAGATGTTACACACTGCTGCTACTTTGCACTGATGGTAGAGGGAGTGAATATTCAAGGTAGTGGGTAGGGTGCCAATCAAGCAGGTACTTTGTCCTGGATGCTGTTGGATCCTTTGAGTATTGTTGGAGTTGCACTCATCTAGGCAAGTGGAGACAATTCCATCACCCTCCTGACTTGCACTTTAAGATGGTAGACTTTGCACACACTTTCCAGCCTCTGACCTGTCCTTGTAGCGACAATATTTATATGGCTGGTCCAGTTTAGTTTTCAGTCAATGGTAACCCTCAAAATTTTTAAAGTGGGGAATTCAATGATGTAATGACATTAAACATTAAGGGGCGTTGGTTGGATTCTTTCTTGACGATGATCATTGCCTGGCACTTGTGGGTCTCAAATGTTACTTGCTACTATCAACACAAATCTGAGTATTGTCCAGGATTACTGTATTTGGACATGGATTACTTCAGCATCTGATGAGCTACAAATGGTACTGAACATTGCACAATCATCAGCGAATATCCCCACTTTTGACCTTATGATGGCGGAAGGTCATTGATGAAGCAGCTGAAGATTACAGGGCTTAAAATGCTACACTGAGGAACTCCTGTGGAGATAACCTGGACATGAATTGATTAACCTCTAACAACCATAGACACCTTACTTTATGCTAGTAATGATTGGAGAATTTCCCCCGATTCCCATTGACTCCAGTTTTGCTGGGTTTCCTTGAAGCCATACTCCATCAAATGCCGTCTTGATGTCAAGGACAGTTCCTGTTATTTCACTTCTGAATTCAGCTCTGTCCAGCAATTTTCCATTAAAAGAAGTGAGTTGATGGTGCTGATTTAGGGTGAAAGTTAGCTACTTCTCTTCAAAGATGTATGGAATCTTGAAAATCTGGACTAAAGTTAGGTAGAGCTTTAGTATAATGTCAGTTGCCCCGATAACATTTCAAAAAGACTGGTGAAGACATGTGCTGCAGAACTAGCGACATTCCCGAGACAAGCTGTTCTAGTATTATTATAACACTGGCATATACCTGGAAATGTGAAAAATTGCCCAGGTACATCCTGTCCACAAAAAGCAGGACTAATCTAACATGGCCAATTAATGCCCCATCAGTCTACTCTCAGTCATGAGTGAAATGATAGAAGGTATTATCAAGAAACATCTACTCAACCAGAACCTGCTCACTCATGCTCTGTTTGGGTTTCACCAGCTCACCTAGCCGTTGATTTCATTAAAGCTTATGTCCAATTATTGATGAGAGGTGAATTTGAGGAGAAGTCATTATCCTTGATATCAAGTCAGCATTTGACTGACTGTGGGATCAAAGTTCCTGGGTCAGTGGGAATCTGGGGGAGAACTCTATGGAATGGAGTTATAATTAGCACAATGGAAGATGGGTGTAGTTCATCATTTCAGCCCCAGAACATCACTGAAGGAGTTGCTTATTGCCAATCAAGCAGGCTGATTTCTCTTGGGTGGTGTCAAGCTTCTCAAGTCAACTAGGCAACTGGAGAATATTCCATCACCATCCTGACTTGTACCCTGTAGATGTTGGATAGACAGTGAGGAGACAGAAAATGAGTTACTTCATGCAGAATTCTCGGTCCCTGACCTGCGCTTGTAGCCACAGTACTGGCCTAGTTCAGGTTTTGGTCGAAGTAACTCCCACATGTTGATAGTGGATGAATTCCATGATGATAATGCCATTGAATATCAAGGATGAATGGTTAGATTCTCTCTCATTGGAGATGATCATTTCACAACATTTGTGTACCGTGAATGTTACTTACCACTGGCCCAATCCTGAATGTTATCAAGGTCTTTCTCCATATCAATGTGGACTGTTTCATTATCTGAGATGTTGCAAATTTTATTAAACATTGTGCAATCATCAGTGAACATTCCCACGTCTGACCTTCCAATGAAAGAAAAGTCTTTAAAGAAGCAGCTGAAGATTGTGGGGCCGAGGACGCTATCCTGAAAAACTAGAGTTCTTGCGGCACAGTGGTAGTGTGTTCCTACCTTTGAGCCAGGAAACCTGTGATCAAGTCCTACCTAATCCAGAAGTGTGTAATAGCATCTCTGAACAGGTTGATTAGAGATTATTTATACTGAGGCACTCCTGCAATGTTGTACTGGGCATAGAAAAATTGGTGTCCAGTAACCACAGCCATCTTTCTTTGTGCTAGATATAACACCAACAAGTGCAAAGTTTTCCCCAGATTCCCACTGACTCCAGTTTTATTAGGTCTCCTTGATGCAATAATCGGTCAAATGATGCTTTGATGTCAGGGCAGTTAATCTTACTTGTCTGTACTGTGTGACTCTATGACTTCACCTCTGGAGTTCATGTTTGGACCAAGTCTGCAATGAGATCACAAGCGGCCTTGATGGAACTCAAACTAAGGGTCAGTGAGGAGGTTATTCCTTTGCAATTACCATGCAATAGCACTGTTGATGAACCCTTCTATCGCTTTACTGATGATTGAGAGTAGACTGATAGTGGTAATTAGCTGAGTAGATACCTGTGTTGTAGCTGAAATGGTAAATTTTGGCTCGGGGTACAGCTAATTCTGGAGCACAAGTCTTCTGTATTGTTGCTGGAGTGTTCTTGGGGTCCATAGTCTTTGTGTATCTAGCACCTTCAGCTATTTTTGATGTTGCGTGGAGTGAATCAATTTGATGATTGGCATCTGTGATGCTGGGGACCTCAGAAGGAAATCATCCACTTGGCACTCCAGGCTAAAAATGAAGGCACTTCTTCAGCTTTGTCTTTAGCCTTTATATGCTGTGCTGTCCTATTACTGAGGATACAAATTGTGGACCCATTACCTCCTGTAGTTTAATTGTCCACCACTATTCATGATTAGATGTGGAAGGACTGGCAAAGCTTGGATCTGATCTGTTAGTTGTGGAATTGTTTAGCCTTGTCTTTGTTGTTTGGCATGCAGTTAGTCCCGTGTTGTAGTTCCACCAGTTTGACACCTTATTTTACTTATTTGTGATGCTGCTCCTGACATTCTCTCCTGCAATCTTCATTGAACCAGGGTTCATCTCCTGGCTTGGTAATAATGGTGGAGTGGGGCATATGCAATGCTGAAAGATTATAGATTGTGTTTGATTACAATTCTGCTGCTGTTGGCCCATAGCACCTCATGGATGTCCAGTCTTGAGTTGGCAAATCTTTTTGAAATCTAACCCACTAAACAAAGTGATCACACTACACAACATAATGGAGGGAATTCTCAATGTGAAGGTGTGACTTTGTCTCCACAAGGATTGAGAAGTGGCGACTGCAATCAATACCATCATGGACAGGCACATCTCCAAAAGGTAGGTTGGTAAGGACCAGGTAGAATTTTCCCTCCTTTAGATGCCCTTACCAAATGCCACAGAACCATCTCGCAGATTCTTTAGGACCAGGCAAATGAGTCTCAGAAATTAAATGACAGTTTTTGTTTAACCACAACATGAACACCACTACTGAACCCTGACCTTCACAAGGTGTGTAGAGAAGTCTGAAAATTTTCCTATTCCTGGTCATGATACAATGAATTATTGCTGCAAAGTGCTTATGGCTAGACATTGAGTGAAATAAAGATTGAGCTTGGTTGCAATGCCACCCCCCCTTCCAGTGAAAAGCATCTGACAACATGGTTTGGCCTTATAATTCTGGCAACATGGCAGAAATATTAATGTGAAACTGTTGTGCAATGTCTTGATGAAGAGGGGAGGATTGGACAGGAGGGGAATCACTGTGATTGTTAGAGGAGATAGATATGGTTGATATTCCTTCAATAGCCCTGACTCTTAAAATTTTATCAAGTTAAATTAATGCCTGTTATTCTCTTTGTTCCTCTTCTCTAACCCCTCAATCTGCAGAGAACAATTTTCACCTTTGTACAGATCCTGGATCAGGAGAAAAATTTTAAAAAAAATCAGGAAGACATTTTGAAATGAGTGAAGAAAGGAGCTAAATTCCCGGGAGAGGTGTGTGCACACCATGGGCTGTAGAAAGTGTTATTACACACGGAGCTGCAACTTGAAGAATTTTTCCAGTTGGGTGTGGCTTTCTGGAACATTGACCTGCTATTATGTCGAACAACTTGTTTTGTTCAGCAATTATATATTAAACTTTTTTTACATTCTCAGTTTCTTTAAACGTTGCTGGCCGGGAAAATCTTTTTACAATGAGGTGCAGATGACTTGGAGGGCATCTTCAGTGGGAAGCTGCATGTTTGACTGATTGCAGTAAGCATCCGTGCCAAACTTTTAACTGTCCACTGAGGGCATTGGCCTGAGCCCTAATATGTAGTACCAGTTGATGGATCACTGGTAAAACATTTAGGGGGTAAACGGGTAAATGTCATCGGTTGGTTGCATTGTTTTGAATAAAATCTTGCAACTAATTATGTCTGTTTGTTTTCTGTGGATAATTTTGGAGCATTTCCTCTGGTCACTCACTGTTACTAGCTAAGTTTTAAGTAAACAGATTTTGGATTTCACTGGAAATAACAATCAAGGGAAATCTTCCCACTAGATGTTTTTACACTTTCCAAGCTGCGAATGTGCACATGATTTCTGACTGTCATTAGTCTGCCATGGAATAAATATTTTTTAAAATTTTTCATGTTTGGGTGAAAGCAGGGGTGCAGGTAAAATAAGTGTTCCATCTGTGTTCCATGACTTGCGAATAGTTAGTAACAGCCTGATGAATTTCCCTGTTTGTCCGTGTGTAGAACAGTGTTAGTGTTGTCCAGATCCTCCTTTGTGTATCATAGTGTCGGCTTGGATCACATCCAGTCAGCAAAATGCTTTTTGCTTGTGATGCTAGCTTTGCAAAAATATTTTGGTTGTAAATTTCAAACAGAAAATGAAGATTTGTAATATCTTTTTTGAGATTATACATTTTTGTAGTCAAAACAGTACAACTTCTAGCACACCTGCAAAATCTCTCATTTGTTGAGCTTTTTTTAAAAAAGAAATAACTTAAATTTGTTAGAATAACAGAAATACGCTTTACATTCTGTCCCACTGAGTAGTTCTCCCAAATGTATGGCTTTCATGGTTCTCAGAATTCACTTAGCTGCTCTGCATCGCTACTACATTAATGAAAGAAAATCTCACTGGATGTACTATTTGCAATAAATAGTAGCAAACAGCCATGCTTACATGGATTAATTTAACTGCTTTGAAATGTGAAAATAAGTTGTTAAGAATTACTGGGAACCTGTTGGCAATAATTTTGTGGAATAAAGAATGCAGTAGACACACCGAAAACTGTGCTTCCTCTGCCCCCTCAAACCCCTCCCCCGAGAAAAAGTTTGAAATGATATTGAGAATTTGTTAAGTTTTAATAACCCTCTGCATTTTCAGGCATATTGCAACAATAGCAGCTGCAATTTTGCCACTGTTGGGTGATGTTGTAGGGTTAATATGAAACTATGAAGTCCTTTTGTTTGTAAAGCAAATGTGGTGAGCTGTCCCTTGTACTCTCTGAATACAATAAATTATACAAATCGTGAATATTCATGACATTTGATGGTAGTAGACAAGTGCTGCAGCCTTCAGCATTTGCTTGCTTCTGGCTCATCTAGTCTCCAGACCAGTGGTTGTCTGGAGTTGTTTGCAACTATTGCCTGCACATGTCCAACTATAGAGTGGAATGCTTTCCGCAGCTCTGAGTACGAGGAGTAAAAGACTGAACAGCATATCATGCAATAATGGTTTTAATGATGAAATGATGGGGCAGGTTAGTGATGGTCATTTTGACTAGAACCTGAGGTTTTTATTAGGAACTTAAATGGACATTGCTGCATGAAAACCTGTGCAGTGCACACCATGAAGGATTTGTAAAGAGTGATCGAGTATAAATGTTAGCAAACAATCAAGTGATTCATTTCAAACGCTACCTTGATGATATGTTGCACATGCAAAGTCAATGGTAAGAATCTCTTCAATTTGGCAGTGGTCCCTGAGGCAGACCAGACCCCTCTTTAAAGTTTTTGATTTAATTCTTTTACTTTGAAATGGGAATACCATAACTACTGTGGGAATTTCAACTGAGTTGGCACTGCTGGCTTGGTGCTACTACAGTTGGTGCCAACACCCATGGGGGACGAGGGGAAATGCAGGAAAAATTATGAATTAGCTTTAGCATTCCACGCAGAATTTGAATCTTCCTTCATCTATGGCAGGTTTCTGTTTTTTTTTAAAATGGAAAAGTGTAATTTTTTTAGTGGTACCAATTTAACAAAAAAGGAAGATATGTTGGTGACTTTGTATTGTGCTTGTGCGTTTACTGTGAAATAAAAAAATGTTGTGTTTTTTTTTGTAGCTTGTTACTATGTATATTTTAGTGACACAAATAGCTCCAGTGTATTAAAATGTAGATTCCTGATGCCTTGCTGTCTTTTTTTAAACTTGATGTGTAGAGGAAAACCCTATATTTGAGACATGTCTGAGGAAAATGAAACTAATGCATTGAACTGAAGACTTGCAGCAGAGGAGAGGTATAGGACTGGTACATTGCCTTGAAGTTCTGTGCCATGTATCCTGTTCTTCTGTACAATGAACTTGTGAATCTGATTCTTACTAAAGATGGGCACATTGAAAATTCAGTGGATTGCAAAGGTTTCTTAAATTTCTCAAACCAGATTCAAACCTAGCCCAGAATAGAATGGATGGGAATGGTTGCAGCATACAATGGAGATTTGGTATGGATTAACCAGATTTAAGATTTATTCAACCAAGACAATGCAGTTTGATAACAGGTGGTAGAAAGCATTAATGTAACAACTGATGAACGATGGGGGAGTCACTGCATTTGGAAAGCAATCTAAAAGTAGATTGGGCTTTGGATGCGATTATGTAAGTGGATTACTATTAGATATATTAAATTCTTAAAGCAAAAATGTAAGTCAGCCTTTATTAATTTGTTCGTCAAACTTTAGATTACAGGATGCAAATGATTTGCTGCTGGTCTGAAGGTACAACAATCAACATTGATTTTTTTTTACATTGACAATGAATCTTTCCAAGTGACATGAAACGAATTAGATGAACGCTCATTAAGTCCTTGACATACCTAGAATGTTTTAGGTTAAGGGGAAGTAGATTTAAAACAGATAAGGAGAAATTACTTCTCTCAAATTCTCATGAATTTGTGTAATTCACTACCCCAGACTTATGTGGATGCTGGGACTGAGTAAATTTAAGGGAGAGGTGGATTTTTAATTAGTAGTTAGTTTATGGATTATGGACAACAGGCAGGAAAGTGGAGCTAAGGCTGAGTTGAGATCAGCCATGACTGTATTAAGTAGCAGAGGAGGCCCAAGGGGCTGAATTGCCTACTCCTGCTCCTAGTTTTTACCATTCTTATTTCAAGGAGTAAAGTGATTTATGTTTAGTGTCCAGAAATGATATTCTTTGCATGAATTGAAACATTAACTCTGATTTTGTTGAACTCCCTGAGTTCTGCAGAAGACTATTACTGGACTCAAAATGTTACCCCTGTTTCTCTCTCCACAGACGCTGCCAGATCTTCTGAGTTTCTCCAGCATTCTCTATGTTTTCCCTGATTTTATCTGTTCTCTTTAGGTGGAAATTAGGCTGGGGCAGTTAAAATAATGCAATCACATCACCCCTCTGATCTTGTTGGTTTCTCATTGTGTCCCAATATTAACAAGCAGACAAACTGACAGCTACCAGGAAATAGCAAGCACTGATTTTAATTACGGAAATCATGTCCATTAAGGTAATTAAAGCTAGATCTACAGTTTGAAACTGGAAACCTGAGCGGTGAGGGTAGTGCTATCTCCCAATCAAGCACCAGTATTCTGCCAGGCCTCTCAAAGGTCTGTAGGTCCAGTTCAGTATCAGGAGCCCTATGTTATAACCTAAGCTAGAAGAATGTGCTGTCACTCTAGTCCTATTACTCCCTAGACCAAATCATAAAGTAAAAACAGTCTTTCCAGTTAGTGAAATGGCCAATTAAATTCTTTTTATTTAAGCTCTAATATAGAAAAAGTTAGGGTTGGGGTTTAAGTAAAAAGATCTAACAAACTGGTTTCTTAATAAACTAAAAATGCTTTATTATCAAAGCTAAACTTATTGAATAAAGATGCAACAACTGATTAACATAAAAGCTGAAAGAACAAAGACAGAAGTTGCTGAAAAAGCTAAGCAGGTCCGGCAGCATGTGTGGAAAAAAAAATCAGAGTTAATGTTTCAGGTCTGGTGACCCCTCCTCAGAACTGGTTAACGTAGTCAGTAGCATCGAAGTATAAACGTCTAGCCTTGTGACTTACAGAAAACACATACAATTCAGGAAAAGAGAGAAAATTAATTTCTCCCTGCAGATGTTCACTTTAAAACTACTTCCTGGAAATTAAGGTTGTACTTAAAAGGCAAGATGGATAAAGCATAGGATGTTCTGAATTTTGTCGTTCCGTTACTCTGGCATAATATTAATCATGCATGTTTGGCTCTAAGTCTTGGCAGACACAACTTGCTCAAGAAATACAATATGGAGAATTTCCTGCAAATCACTCACCCTGAAAAACAAATAGGTTTCACCCTGAACTCAACAAGAGGGTCCTTTACAGAAATAGGAGAGATCAGCTGAGCAGACCTTCCTCCCAGAATCCCTGAAGGAAGAGAAATCTATTTTCTTTTTGTTTCTCTTCACCTAAAGTGTTTGTGCATGTATTTTGGGATACTTAGAAGGTAACCATTTATATTATAATGTTAGAAACTGTGTTAGCCAATTCTACATCTTTGTAGAATACACTTTTATAATAAATCATTAATTTTGTGTTTATTAGATGAGATTGTTTGATGGATCCTTTTATGTAATATACAGAAAGTATATGACTGGCCAAATCAAGAACCAGATAAACAATTAGATTTATAGTGTGATCTGGAAAGTAGTGGAAGTAGAAAATGACAGTGCAATGCACTCCTCCCATCCTGCTCATTAGTATCAGCAACAAAAGTTTTTTCAAAATAACTCATGGACACTTTAACACACAAAAATAATCAACCTCCAGCCTGAGCTTTCAAAGAAAGGACACACCCGAGGCTCAGACCGGCTCGACTTTCCTGGCCAAGGCAATTGTCCAATTCCTAGCTCTGCATCTCTTAGCTACAGTGTAACCTGGGAGAATGCTTCTCTGGTATTTTACTCACCTTGTTCGCTGCTATTCACTCTGAGCCTGAGTCTATCAACAGTAAATGCAACAGAATATTAGCCTGGGATTGGAAGAGCAGCTCCTTATTGATCATACAATCCCTAAGTGCAGAAAGAGGCCATTCAGCCCATCAAGTCTGCACTGACCCTCCAAACAGCATCCCACCCTATCCCTGTAACCCCACATTTACCATGGCTAACCCACCTAAGCCTGCACAT